AGATAAGAATGTGCGTCTGATGACTCCAGTCCAGGCTGCTGGTTGCTAAACTCCAGGAAGTCTTCTGTACATCTATCTGAATCTAATTGAATTTGCTGGCACCTGCCTGCCTGCATTCTGACACCTCCAGGATCTGCATGGGGACCTTTGGCTCAGCTTCTTGATTGACCAGAATGGGCAGGGCATCAGCATTCCAAAGTAAGAATACAACGCACAATAAAATCCCCAAACTCAGGCAGGGACATTTCCTTTTCCTTTGTTAAGTCAGTGTGGTCTTCATATAGAAAGATAGCAAAGGCTCTGCCATTTCTTTCATTCAAAAAATTGTAAGAAGGCAGAATTTGGAATGATTATGCAGAAAAAGGGATCTCGGGGGTCAGAAGTTTTTGATGCAGAATTACGAACTTGAGGTCAAAGGTGGTGTCTATGAAGGACAGTGCTGGGGGAAGGCAATGCTCACCTTTAGAAAACTTCTATCAACAGCAGGATGTGTGAGCACGGACGGCAATCTGGCCAATATCATGGATAAGACAAAACCTGAATCCTGGGGGGAAAATACCCCAATTCTTTGAACTTGGGTGAGAGTGTGATTGGCCTCATTAAAGGGTAGATGAGGGTGAGAGGAGAGAAGCCCTTCATCTTCCATATCCGCTGGGTGTCTTCTCCAGGCATATCTATGGCCTGCTTCTCCTGAGGAGCTCCCAGATCCCCTCAGGGAAGTGGCTTCACCTCCCATTTGGCCAGCGCTGGAAATGTGTTGATGCACTGCCAACACATATGCTCCTCTGGGCGGTGCCTGGTCTATGTCATGAGACCCATTCAGGAACACGGTTACTACCTCCACTCCTGGCATGCCAGCTCCTTCAGAACACACTGTTCTTTGGGGGAAATATTACAGTTTTTGAACCGAAGATAAACTCTCTTCAGAAATCACATAGAAAAAACATTAGAAGAAAAGAAAAGATTCTCAGAAATTTAAGAATTCAAAACAAGACAATTAGTCAGTTTTACACTAACCTTTGTAACCTCAATCTTTGAATTTTTATTTCCCTCCTTTACAGCAATCACTTCTGTGCTGCCAAAAGAAATGAGATGTGATTTCTTCTGAGTCATTACTGTGATCTCCATTGAAGGAGAGTAAAGACAGTAAATAGTGCTCCACACCAAACTCGCCTTGAATTTGACATAAACTGCACCGGTCCTTTGCAGAACTAAAAATGAAGCACTTCTAAGCCTTAGAATTTCTCACGAGTTTCTGTCATTTGGCAGAAATTTTTGGAGTTGTTGCTTCTTCCAAATCTTTTCCACTGTTAACTTTTTAAAAAATACTTAAAAGTTAACAAATGGCACCACATTATCTTTAAAATGGATTTGCTATCTGAAAGCATTAGACATCAGGAGAGGAGAAAAGTTAGAAACACCATCTTAGTTTCTTGGTGACATTGTCCAGGAACTTAGCCAGGAAGTTGCTTGCAGTTTCCAGGGTGGCTAGAACAGACCATTAGCAAAGGAAAAATCCTCAGGGTCAACAAGACATAGTGGCCCTTTGGGGAACGGTTTCTGGATATCCACAGAAGTACCGGAGCCAGGCAAGTGTGTATGTGGGTCCAGAAAAGCAGGAAAACCTGGTCAGAAAGCCACCCATTCAGCCAGAATGGTCTTGAAGACTGAGTAAAACTCCACCCATTTGTGTGGTCTTTTGAGGGTTTCCAGGACATGGTGCAGAAAGGGTGAACCCAGACTACTCCATCTGAGGCAACAGAGCTGAGAGTCCAGGGAGACCAAGGCAGCTAGAGCTCACAGGACAGAGTGAGAGAGGAGGGGGCTGCAAAGAGGGAATCCCAGATCTACAGAGGATCCCTCTGGAAAATGCAGCAGAATCTACTGTTAACTTCTTACGGAAGTCAATCCTGATTCATGTTGTCTCACAGGAACGTGGTATAGGCGTCAATATCCAAAATACTTTGTTTTGTTTCCAAGGAAAAGTACTGTGGGACTTGGTTTGTGCAGTAGTTACTAGACACATGACTATTTAAATTTAAATTAATTAAAAGTAAATAAAATTTAAAAATACCATTCGGGGGGTACACTTCATCAACAAGGGTACCTGCATAACGAACATTTATATACCTAACCCTGAACGTACCCCACATCTTTAAAAAAAAATGCCCTTCCTTAGTTGCATCAGCATCTCATGAGCTCAATAGCTATGCATGACTAGTGGCTACTGTATTGGACAGCACAAACATAGAACACCTCCGTCACTGCAAAAGTTCAATTGGAGAGTGCCATAAATATATCATTTCAATATACTTATGAATTACATTTTTAAAATCAAGTCTTCTGACTTTCTCTTATGACAAGTCCTTTTAGATACGTATGTACCAATTTGATCTTGAATTTATTTACAAATTTTAAATAAATGTAAAGCATTTTGAGATATAACTTTTAGTTTCAAGGGCATCTTATAACAATTTTTTAAAAATCACCTGTTATAGTGAAATATGTCTGGAGAAGTCATCAATTTAAACTTCTAAGGCAGATGTCCAATCAACATGCTGTCAAAGGAAAGGGACTAACATTCTTCTTGATAGCTAGTTTCAACAATAATAAATTTCTCTTCATTTCTTTTCAAATGTTCATTTGATTGGACAGTTTCTCAAGTCACTTGTCTAGATTTTGTCATCCTGAAAGCTCATGATATTGACATTTTCTCCTGAATATGTAGATGTGTAGACATTTTGAATATATGGATATAGTAACAATAAGTAAAATGAGCTCAATTCCGCCTACTTCTGACAAATAAATTGGAAGCAGAAGAGTCTTTTCTATCATTATTAAGGGAGGCATTTTCTCTAAGGTTATGAGAAGCTGTTCTTCTTGCTGCCTAGGCAGTTTCCATTGAAAAAGCAATTTACCATCATATGGATCCCTCCAGGAGGTTTCATGTAGAATAAAAAGGGAAATCTTCTCACATGGGGACTCTTGGGCTTTGTGGTAGATAGGGGTAGAATTACTGGGGATTAATTATAGAAAACAAGCCCACACTTCATCCCAATCCCCCTCTGAGGGTCATGTGCCACCCAACAGACAGCACTGTGGGGTGGCTGAAGAGAGCTTCTTGATGGAAACCAAGAAGGGATTTATGGTAGAGTCAAGCACTACAGCAGAATTCCCTGGCTATTAATGTCCCAGTTTTTTTCAGAGCAGGCTGAGATTGTAACAGGATGGGGGCAGCAGCAAATATACTATACTCCTTCAAGACTAACATTGCCTCATATGATACCTTGACAAAGGACTTTTAGACAGGAATGAGACCTCAATCAGAGGCAAATGCTTCATAAAATCTGAAAGGTACAGTAGGATGGGGGTATGGTGGGATTGACCCATGAAAAAGGGTCATCACCCTAAGGATCATTCTTTTCTACTTCTTTCACCTCGAATGTCCCATCAATATGAGACAAATTTTATTCTTAAGATAATCTTCTTCATCCCTCAGTTTTTTGCTTAGGAATCTACATGACTAAAATTAAGTTCAGTTACCTTTTTAAAACAAAGCTATTAAGTCTGTTTTGTAAAAACAACTGCATATACTCTTTACACATGCTTAAAAAGGAGTCAATGATTACTTTGATTTTTAAAGGTTTGTTATACTCAGCTATCATCTCATCAAATTGCGTTCACTTGAATCATTGTGTTTTCATAAATATTTATGAGCTATTTACTGTCATAATTGAAAATAATTCATGTATTGATACTCCCGAGAAGGGTTACATACAACATTGTGTGGATCACAGGTCACTAAGACATGTAGTAAAATCTGTTTCAAAATCCTTATCCTTGATTAAAATGACACAGTTGTCAACTTAAAGTTCAGAATTACTAGATTCAATAAGGGGGGAAAAAACCCCTTACTGAGAAATTGTTAGTATAATATTAATATTCTATCAGTAGTAATTGTCTAAAGTAAAGCTATAGATTTTCATCACAGTTCAGTATATATAGAAATTAATCAGTTAACAGATGCAGGCATTTAATCATTTTCCTGGATTGGAGCATGACTTTGAAGAAGGCACTTGATTTTTCTGTTTAGAAAGATTGGCTCCTAAATATAAAGTATGGGGATGTTATAGTGATGAGATAAACTTTTTGGGGGTAAATAATGTTCCAACAGGGTATCTTCAGTAGGATTTATTGAAATATTGGCAGGTAGTACTGGAAAACAGAGATCAGAGTGAAGAAGATGTTCAAGTCCAGATAGTAGCCTGATCTGTTTCATTGTCCTGGAAATGCTTGCATATCAATATCTAGAGCCATTGTTGGCCTCATCTTGACCCAGTGTGCCGAGTATAAGTCAAAAAGAGTGTGGCTTTCAGTGTCATTGCTAGAAATGTAACTGATTTACATGGCAATCATCATAGAAACTAATACTGATTTTTATCTCTCGTAAATAAAGAAACAAAACACAGTGTAAGGAGAATATGTGTCAGAAGCCTTGGGTTCTAATTCCTACTCTCAAGGTGGCCTAACTATAGGTAAATTCTTTCACCTGAATGGACCTCCACTTCCTTGTCTGAAAACAGGAGATTGGATATGACTGGAGTCACACTAAAATGCCAACAGGAACCAGAAGTAGCCTGGCATAAAGATGATAAAGGAATCTGATACTGTGCTCTTACTAGGGTGCTGAAGGGGGATAAAATGGAAAGTCCTTGCCTCCTACTGGGGACAGTCAGTACCCAGCTCCAGTCCATCATCTCTAGGTGGTATGCAGACCCTGTGTAGTCATACCATCAGATTTTTCAAAAAATACAGAATTTCAGACTTTTATGTCAAATAACCTTGTTTTTAAATATTGACAATTCATAAAAAAAAAAAAAAAAGACTACTGTGAAGTCCAAACTAAACATCTGCATGTAGGGGATGGGGCTTGTACTGTGCCACCATCTTGTGACCTCGGATTAGAAGCGTTCCTGTCTCTGCCTGCTCTGTGGTTCTGTTGGCAGATGGAGAAGGGTGATCATCTTGTGACCACAGAGCACTCTGCATGTCCCTATTTAGTCTTCATTTCACTTGGTTTCATCAACATATGAATACAGTAGGGAATCAGAGCAACCACAGTCAGCGGGATGGATGCACTTTTACAAAAAGACAGCACATAAAATAGATGCTCTTCATGAGTTGGGATCTGGATGAAATGGTAGAGCTGCAGTGTGGTCAACGAAGTGAAGGCACAGAGCAACCGGAAGCTCAGCTTGCAGCTGTTTTCCCCTCTGCAGCTCATAAGGAACATTTCTGAGTTGATTGCAAAGCCTAAGCCAAAGAGCACCCCAAGGTTTCTCACGAGTCCAGCAAAAGGTGTGGTGTCAATGTGGATCCAATCAGGGTTAGCACACCACTTTTTGGCAGTGGGCACAGACCACAGCAGGTCAATGTCGAGTAGTCTGAGAAGCAGGTAAAAGCCAATAGCAAAGAGGAAGAGGAAGAGATTGGTCTTCAAGTATGTGCCCAGGCTGGCCGTTTGGATGCCTGGAGTGTGCTCAAAGCCCTCTGCCACCAGCATACCTGGGGAGTGGAAAGAGATTGACAATGACTGTGTGCTCTTGAGCCCTTCAAGAATCATTCCTCTCTGTGTTAAAGAATTCAGTCATAGTTTCAATGATAAAGAGCTTTCCACACCACCTACATCGTCCTATCAATTTTCTAAAGTCTTTTCTAGGCTGTAACTAAAAATGCACATTTGCCCATGGTGTTTTCACTATCTATATTAGCCCAGTAGGATCATTGTGGAGTTGGTGGCACTCAGTGACAACCCACTTTGTAGGTGAAGCATGGATCTAGTACTTGCATTTAATATTTCAATTGCCATAGCCAATTAAGTTAGGCATTGAAAGGTATGTTGGAGCTGAACAATGAACTCAGTCACGATGAATACTGCTTAGGAACACTAAGCAGCTACCAAGTGAAGTACATAGTCATATAATAATCACTTCAGATTTTTCAGAGAGAATGGCATGCTGTGCATGTTGCAAAGTCACTAAGTCCCCCAACCCAAAACACAAACTCACTCTAGTGAGTCTAGCCCTAGTCTCAATTCATGAAAGCCCATCTCACTAAGCAGTTATGCATTTACAACACTGAGTACATGGAGGCCATGAGAGGTATGTTGAACCACTTCAGCTTCCTGGGCAGAATATCACATCAGTGACTTCACAGAATTACCTCTGAAGTTGGAAAACTGTTTACCAGGGAGAATCTGACACCATTAAACAAATGAAGGTAAAGCTTTCAAATGACACAACTAAATGTAAGTGATCATATTTACCACCAATTACTCCAAGAATAACTTGATGAGGAAAATGTGTTGCTATGAATACTCTGGAGATGCAGACACTGATTTGAATCAACCAAAAAAGACTCCAAAGAAATGACCAGGTCAGTCTACGATGGAAGAATAGATACAAGCGTAAAAAGCAAAGAAATTGTATCACTCATAAAATTCAAGGGGTGAAACCAGATAATCCTTCTCAGAGGAATCTTCTTGCTGTGACGTGGCACCATGATTCTATAGTCTTTTTTTCCAAAACATTGCCTCCATGTACTTCATAGGATTTGAAAAACTTTAACAGGGAGATTTCTACATTTCTCAATACATAAACTTTAACCAGTGCTATATCCTGTGATCTTAATAAATGCTTAAAAAGGAAGGCAATTTGACTTTCATGAAATAAAGATAATGTAGGGAAAATTCAAGTTTGAGGGAATTATTAATATTCAGAATGATCAAGAATGAACTATGTATATTTTTACACCTGTCCTATGTGCTTCCTCTTTACCCCCCTCTCTCAACATTCCTTTGCTTGAAGAAAATTCAGTAGAGAGGCAGCAGCCAATCAAATGAAAAGCACATGAGCATTTCATCAAGAGCAAGTTATCACTGGGTTTAATTTCACAGATTCTCAAGGGTCTTGGTTTCTTATTTTTTTTTAGATACAGAAAACAAGGAATGAGGGAATTAATCTTTGGGTTACATACTTTGGATTAGAAGCAGCAATGTGCAAAAAAAAAAAATACTTAAAATGTTAAAACCAACCAATTCATGCTGTTTTTTAAAAAATGTTAGCAGTATTGAGTTCCAGGAACCATTGAATGGTTTGTTCCTGATTACCAACTGATTATAGAAAGACTAAGTCATAGAAGGACATAAGACTTTCAAAGAGAAAGTAAGCAGGGTACCGATGTAGAAGAAGAATAAACAAGACTTTGGTACTGTGAAGGTAAGAAGTAGGCACTCTACGGTTTTAAAAACTCAAAAAGGAGGTATCAGAATTTTTTTTTAGAGCAAACATATATTATTCCAGGTTTGATAATTGGAAGAAAGAATGAGCTATAGAGAAAAGGCAAGACTGATCTAGATTCCTACTTTGAAAATTTTCTATGGCTAGAAAGTGCTAACTTCTTTAATAATAAAGTCTTTCTACTGTTGCTCTTGTTTTGAGTTGAGTAATGAGTCTAGCTCTAGTCTCACTTCAGGAAAGCCCATCTCACAAAGCAGTTATGCATTTACAGCACCGTAGTAAGGCACACAGGTCACAGTCTCGCTAGAATAAACTTTAAAGGTGCCCAGACTCCTTCGGTTGTTTCTTATTCAATACAACTCCGAAAGGTGGATTATGCGATGGATATTAAACATTTCTATTTTTAGAAGAACATTTATATAATGGTATATGTTATAGCATTTTAAAAAGGTTAACTGGCAAATCTAATCTCAAGTAATCTAATAATTTATGACTAAAGTGGTGCTTAGGATTGTCTTCATGATAGTTTAAAGGATTTCAGGAAAGTGGAAAAGGAAACAGCCCAATTCCTACAAAAATTGTGAATACTCTTAAAGTTTTGGGCTTTTCTAGACATTAAGAAATCTGCTAACATTACATCTACTGACATTCAAATTTAAGTTTGCTTCTAGAATGTTTTTAATTACAAAGTTTGCATAGTCTTTAAAGCTAAAATATTTGTTATTGCTGTCAAAAGCATTGGCTATTCATAGAAGGAAGCATAATTCTCAAAACTTTCAGTTCATCTTAAAACAAGAGAATGTGCATGCAAAAAATATTTCCTTATACTGTATAATTTTGGATGACTTATTTATGAGCTACCAACATAATTATTGCATTTTGAAAACCCAAAGGCAGATTAGCAAGTCATTAATCAGTTCAACATTTCCAGCTCTAAAGGGAAATAGCTATGAGCTAATTAGGACATTATCTTAAAGCAAAATATTAGTTTTCTATTCATTTTGTTATTATAGTTATGAAAGAATAGGATAAGTATATTTCATTCAACAACTAAAAGCATACGAAAATTATTTTTTTGGCAAGACTTTTTGTACTCAAAACTGTCGTATTCCAACGCTACCAAAGCTGCAGCAAAGCTGACCTGTGCAGAGTGATGGAGCTCTTACTCATCTGACTGACAGTGTGGCTCAGGGCAGCAGTCACCATGACGTACCAGACACATGATGAGCCCATTGCATGGCCAGATGGACTTCCTGCAACAATAAAATGTCCATCCATTTGAAAAATGATTAACTATCAAGAAATAGACAAGAGAACAGCATATTCACCATGAAAACTACAATAACTCAGAAAGAAAAAACCACAGGGCAAAGGTTATATGTAATGCTTAGAAGCAAGTAGAAATAAAGAGAAAATTGAGTCAAATTGAACCTTAGAAACACTATTTCAAAAATGTTTTTCCCAGATTTTCAAGTTCACTGAGTTCTAGAAATCAGTATACTCAAGTCTAATTAAGAACTCAGCACCAAAATCTACCAGTACATTCTTCCAAAGAGTAAGTGCCCAAATATAAAATTATTTGGGGACTACTCTCTCAATCTACCCTTTCACAAATAACAAAATGGAATCTGAGTCTTTATAAAATTTTTTTCCTTTCTCATTAGCAACATTGATGATTATGAACTGTAAGCATCCTCACCCATGGCATTTTTTAATACCTATATAATATCAGTAATTAGATGATAATCTTACATAATTTCTCCCTGTTGGAACATCATCAGTAACTGGAGGCTGCTGCAATTTCTTACCTGGACCTGTTTCGCAGGTAGTGGGGAACTGTTCAAGGCATGGACTTGAATGATTTGGGTAAATCTGAGTTTCTTGGACCCACCAGTATGGCCGATGACCAAATAATATCCTGTATTTAAAGAAATATAAATATACACATATATGTATTTAAATATACAATCATTACTTAATTAGTAATCCCTCCCTATGAAAATGACTCAAGCAGAGGTTTAATGAGAAAAGTTCATGACTAAAAGACTTTGAAAGGATTTGGGTCCTAGTTTCCCATGCGTTACAGAGGATGGTAGTCACTTGGGGTGTTGACATCCTTTTTTCCCATTCACAGGGATTTTTTTTCCTTACAGAGAATGTCCTGTGGGTGTTTTGGGTGCTTTGACTGGGCATATCAAAGTGGTCCCTGGAATTATCAATGTGTCCATTATGGTGTTACTCATTTAATTAACTTCTTAGTTAATTACAGAATTGTTACCGAATTTTGGAATTTACTTATAAGTCATTAAAGTATACATTTCTATGCATTTTAAACATTTAAATCTGATGTTTCAAGTTAATTGGTATGTCTGGAAGATTTTACAAGTAAAACAATACACATCTAAAATGTAATCATTAAGCCAAAGTTCTAAATTTAATAATAAGTTTTAGAACACAATGAAATAAAATGAGAAGTCTTACCATTTAAATATAAGATTGAACCAGTCCCCAATGACTGCTACCCATATCATCTTGGTTCCAACTGTCTGATTAAGTTGAAACCAAAGTGGAAAATAAATAGAAAAGATATTCCTGGGGTCTCCAACATTGGACATAAAGTTTAGAAAATCGTAGTAAGCTCGGTAGTCCTTCTGTAAACGTTGAATTATGAGCACACCATTCATATGAAGAAGATCCATCTTGAAAAAGAGGTAGTTCTACACAGAGGACAATTGGAGCTGAAGTGCTCTGAGTCCTACCTTTTTTATACAGTGCCCTCATGGTGTATCAAGCCATTACTGTAACATGTGATGCTAACCATCTGTGAAGAGGGCATAACGACCCTCCTCTGCTGAATAGCTCCTCTGTTTATGATTTTAATTGGTGGCAAAAAAGGTGAAGTACATGCTGATCCATGGTAATTTGGGGGGAAATTTGGATAGAAGTGCAATGAATTTATTATGCAACCTCCCTTTTATGTGAACAGTTGGATCATGTTTGTTTGCAATTTTTTACACGGTTCATTTCTTTCAAGGATAGACATGAGCAATTTCTATATTTGGCTGAAGACTTTGCAAATAATTATTGCATGTCAAATATCCCCTAAAGCCATGCATTTTAATTTAAGATAGGCCGTGGTTTTCTATTTTATCGGGTCTTTGAGGAAAATAGGTGAGTAAATATTTGGGCATGAAAAATACATAACAGATTACTTTCTTATCGCAGATTTTTAAAAGAGTATAGTTTGATGTTTCTTTGTTATCAAATATATATACATATACATATGTATATATGGAACAGGGAAGGACATATAGGAAATATATGACCTCTATAAGGAAATGAACTGCTTTTCGACTATGAGATACAAAAGCAAAAATGGAGGTCACTTGGATAATTGAAATGTGTTAGGACTGAATCATATCTTTTATGGACTAGAGAATAAAATTGAGAGGATTGGGGAAGAGCTCATGTGACAAAGATAGGAATAGACTTCAAGGGACTTTCAACCATCGGGAAAATGGTTTGCTGAGAACTGAGTATTCAGCAGAAGGAAGTAGGAAGCACCAAAACAAACCTGTAGTTTGAGAATGAATAGAGAGGTAGCACAAAGAGACCTATGGATTCAAGTCAGAGTGAGCTGCTGGTTTCAGAGAGCTAAATTAAGTCTAGGAGGATTAGTGGGAAATCAAATAAGCCAGGTGGCTGAGGGTAGGGTTAAGTAATCTTACTTGTTATCTTACTATTCAGATTGTTGTCTTTACTAAGCATGACCTTCTTCACCAGAAGCCTTTAGAGGCTATGATTATAATTTTGAATTTCTTTTGCAGTTGTGTCCCATCATTTAACAGCAACGTTGTTACTGGGATTCAGCATGTCTTGGTACCTTCCCAGCTTATGTTATTGTTCCTGGAAGAAATGCATTGACTGACTATTAAAATCTTTTGGGGTGCTTTTTTAAAATGCCATAACTTTATCCCATCCCAGATGAATTAAATTACTGGTGATGGGATCTGGGCATTGGTATTATAAAAATATTTCCCAAGCAGTCCCAATGAGGAACAGGAGTTTGGAATCATTATGCTAAAGCATTCATATGAGACACTACCCTTGTTTAATCAGAGGCTATGTTTCTGGCTTTTTGTTTTGCATATTCAGGGTCTATAATTTCCGTAATCTCTTTAATGAGCCATGAAAAAGGACATAACTTCCCTCTATTCTTTTTCTAAGAAGTGTTTGAGCTACATAATTCATAATATTCATTTTCTTCAGAAATGTCTTATCCTTAGATCATGGTGTGAATGCTATCAAATACATTTTGTCTTACAATTAAAAATTAAACTTCCTGCCCTTCAATACTTCAGAGTCTGTGGACTGTGATGAAGTTGGCTGCACATTAGCCTTTCATCTAAGATAGTTAATTTAGAAAGACTGTCTCCTGAGAACTATCTGGTTCTGTAGCCTGTGGGATAATTAACGGAAGCAAAAGCATCTTGATTTATTTTGCCCTTTAACAGAATCTGCTAATCTGTTCATTCCTCACAGTTTATCATTTGCAGTCTTTTCATATCTTAGCTTCTATGCCCCTCCTCAGCGATGCCTTCTCTGACCAGAATCTCCACCATTCCTTTAACAATGCTTTCTCTCAAACACTCTTTTCTCTTAGAGGATGGTATTAGTCTGCTAGGGTTGTCATAACAAAGTACCAGGTTGGGTGGCTTACACAACACAAATACATTATTTTTCACAATCTTAGAGACTAGAAGTCTGAAATCAAGGTGTTAGCAGGTTTCTTCTGAGCCTCTCTCCTTGGCTTGTAGATAGCTGTCTTCCTATGTCTTCACATGGCCTCCCCTCTGTGTCTGTCTGTGTCCTAATCTCCTCTTCAGACAAGGACCAGTTAAACTGGATTACGGTACACACCTCCTTTTAAGTCAATCACATCTTTAAAGACCCTAACTACAAATACAGTGACATTGTGAGTGTTAGGACTTCAACAAGAATTTTGAGAGGATGTAATTCAGCCCATTACAGGGATTTAAACGCAATTTATAATTATATATTTATGTTGAGCATATATATTTAGTATCTCTCTTACACTAAAGTGTAAGCTCCATAAAACAAGGAATCTTGTCTACTTGGCTAGTGTGGCAGCCCCTAGCACAGCTTCCAGCACAGTCCCATGCAGAAGCCGATTGCCCATGAAGCTAGCAAAGCTTTCATAGACCCCTAAGATGTTCGGTTGTTGCTGGAAGTTGTAGACTGTATTCATAATTTTATATTCTCTACTAAAGAGAGGTCCCCAATATAACAGGGGCTTTAGATTTCACAAAACCTGGAACTGCCTCTGGGTCCAACATAGTTATCTGGTAAATGGTCATCAAATGAGTTAATTATTGAACAAAGGTAAAAAAGAGTACTAAATTTTAGAGGTTGCGTTTCTTATTTGGTTAGTGCAAACTTAAAATTCATTTTTCCACAGAGATAATGTTATAAAGTTGCAAGGTTAAGAAAGCTTATTTAAGGTCGAGAAAAGTATAATGTTTATCTAAGAAAAGTTATATACACACACATGCTTAAGGTTAAATATAACAGAAGAATAAACAATAAAAAATGTTTTTAAGGTTTACCTATAAAAGAAAGAAAAGATTAGAGTGAGGGGAACAGGGATAATAACTGGACTTCTTTGAATATACTTATTTTATAGATTTGACTTTAAAACCATGTTAACATTTTACATAAGAATTAGAAGGTTAAAAATTAAAAATCCATACAAAATTTAAAAAATGAAACACATGAAAGCAACACTTGATCCATAATACTGGTTAGCTATTCACTTCCAGCTTTTCAGTACATGTATATTTTATGATTTGCTCCTGTGGGAAAAATCTTTCTAAGCATTTCCTTAGTCCTCCTCCATTTGCTATCTGCCACTCTAGTTGCTGTGGCTTGAGGGAAGGATGCTTCCAATACCTATCCTCTATGGGCCCTAGCAGGAGGGAGATACAGGAGGTTGGTTCTTTCTGGCCCTAATCTTCCAGTGGAGTTTTTCCCTCCAATAAGAGAGTCTGCCTGGCAGCTGGGTCATTTCAAAGTCAATGTTGTTAGAGTTCAAGGTCTGCCCAAGATCAGTTCACCAAATGATGGAGCAAAACCAAGTTCAAGCTACCCAGACCAAGATCCAAAAGAGGATGGACTTACCTGTACACTCATCCTCCTCTTGAAGTTGTCATTCTCATAGTGTGATCTATGGACCACCTGGTTCCTGCTTCCCACTTGCAATTTCCAGGTCCATTGCAGAACACAGAATCAGATGCTGGGCGTGAGTTCCAGAAATGGGCATTTTAGCACATTTCCTACATGGTTTTTATACGCATAAAATTTTAGAAGCTCTGCCTCAATTTGTCACCCCCTTGAAACAAGGTGTCTGTACCCCTCCTGTGTCTTCTGTGTGGAGTTGGCCCTTCCTTATACTGGTTTCTTAACTTATGCCTTAAGGCACTTTTTCTCATTTATTTTATTTGGGATCTATATTATTCTACTCTTTCCCATGGATGCAGGCTTGGTCTGTTCTCATATCCCTCCTTATAGATCTCACTTCCATTATCTTTTTTTAAACTTAAGATATATGGGAAATGCTCAAAAATATTAGCTACAATTGATATTAGTTATTCTTATTTTGGCAAATAGCTTGTAAAAGTGGAGTTGAATTCCAATCTGAAATTCTTGATCAGAGTAAAAGACAAAGTGATATAATTTTGCTCCTAATTCTTATGTTGCTTCTCCTTTATACTCTGATATCTCTGCCTCCTTTCTTCTTCTCTTTTTCTCCTACCTCCTTCTTCTCCTCCTCTTCTTCCTTTTCCTCCCCTTCCCCCTCTTTTTATTTTCATTATTCTCCTTTTCTCTTCATTTCCTTCACTTCCTTCCCCCTCTTTCTCCCTCCCTTTCTCTCTTCTTCTTTCTATCCTACCCTCCCTCTTTTTCAAACTAAATGCTGATCTAAGTCTTTTAATTGGTCACAGTCTTCACTCTTACTAGCCTGAGAATGAACACTGCTCCAAGAGAGCAGAGACAAATCTGGACTGTTCACTATTGCATCTGGGAATCAAACCAAGTGTCCTGCACATTCATAGAGGGTCTCCAGAATATTGCACAGCCAACCACCATTCCCTTCAGGACCAACTCCTTTTCCTTCTGCTGTAGCATAGCTCTTCATTTGACTCCTTCAATGTGCAATGACTAGAACTCTGCTGTGCCAGAAAAAAACACTTTTGGAGTCTAAGAAATCTTTATGAGCATGTGCTTCATGGTCTAATATTAGCTAAACGTCTTCAGTCACCAGGGAATTTATAACTCTCTAGTTATGATTTATGTAGGGGTCACTGAACTTCCTAAAATTGCATGCAAACTGTTCATTCTTATGTATACATCTCTTGGAAGAAGGTCACAGCTTTCATCGGATTTTCAAGAGAACCCTTGACCCAAACAAATTAAGTACAGATGAGGTTCACTGGACTTCCATGCACTGTCCATGGTACCTATTCTCAGAATCATCTCATTTCCCCAGTTTCCTCAGGCATATTTTCAGAATTCTAACCACTCCAGCATGATTTGCTGGGTTTACTTCCAGTAGTTGAATAGATCCAATTCTTTCTAGCATGTTCTCATTCTGATTCATTTAATTTTTCCTGCAGTTTTAATTTATAGGAAATCTTGCCTGTTTTATTTAGATTGCAACCTATAGGACAGAGATTAGAATTTCTTCAATATGTTTCA